AACATGAACCGCGCTCGGCCCATGGCCGCGCGGTTAAAAAAATAACCACGGGTAGAACATGAACCGCGCTCGGCCCATGGCCGCGCGGTTAATTACTTGAGTTGGCGATATGGAAATATATTTATTTATACAAGGCGGTTTCCAACTGGCGGCCATCTTGAATCAGCCATCTTGGATTTGAAAATTTTCTTTGAACCTTTGAAAGACAAATTTAGCCAAATGTAACCAAAACCAACAGGAAAACACTAAAATGTTTGTTGTCTCAGTATTCAGGCCCCCCACCCACGCCAAAAAGAAAAAATTTGAAGGAGAGGGAGGTGATTAATTCTTATTCTGGACGGAGGCTTACTTGTGAGAGAGGGGTGGGTAGGGCTTATTCACAGATTATGCTACACTAAAGGTCTTTTCCTCAGAATTGTATTGTGCATCCCTACTGCGCGCGATTTTTGCGTCATTAGCGTGCGCTCACCATATACAAAATGGTGGCTTTTGCTAAATGGCTTGGATTGCGAGAGACAAGTCATCGTTTTTTCTCGCAAACGGTTACCGGGACTCGACGATTCTTTTTATTTAGTTTGAATGCAGAAATCACCTTTTTTCCATACAGTGGATATAGATCAATTTCTATTGGAGAATTTACACTATCACTGAAAATGAGAGCATAGCTAGTGTTTGGAAAAGATAATATGTGCTCTCAAGACACTGCGTACTTGGAACAAATTGAATCCCTGTCGGCTAAATATGGGTGCCTTTATCATGAAACGCGCATCAAATTACCTCTTAACATTGATGTAGTACATCCATTGATGTTTTTCCTACTTAACTTTATCCTTTTTATTCTGCTCTCACAAAGCGTTAAGTGAATGGTTCAAATATAAGCGTTTAAGAAGGCAGATAATTTAAGGAAATATGGGGTTTATTGAAGGTCCTCCTGATCTAAATGAATAACGGGACCCCTCTTCTTTGTTTCAAAATTCTTTGTTTTCAAATTTCTTGAAATAAGCAGCCAACAGGTGAAGTTTGAAAGAAAATCTATTGTGAGTTCTATTTTGATGGAATTACCTTAAATGGTCATATAATTATGTTAAAGATCTGTGAGTAACTATCTTATTTAACTAATCTCTTCACACTATCATGGCCTGACCAAAATTATACAGGTTATGATAGTGAGGGGAATTATCACCTGATGATTTAATGTCCTTCACGGTAGTGATTTCCCTTGTTTTCTCTTCATGAATTATCAATGAATTTGAGAATGTATAATAAATGTGATGTTATCTGCAGGTTCTGAGACAGAGTACATCATTAGCTGGCTTTAAGACAGATGGTGATGGTGATTTGGCAACCTCGATAGAAGCTGTTAGATTCTCTTCACTCTATGTATCTGTCTCTCTTGGTACTGTTGTTAGCCTGCGAACGCAGACGTATTTCCGGCTGTCACTTGATTCCGCCGAAAAATAACGTCTGCGAACCCGAGCCAGGAAACGATTTGTGACGTAATGACTTTTGTTTCTCCTTGGCCAATCAGATTCCATGATAGAATGAAACTCGAGTGCTCCTCGCAGCGAATACCTCGCGGAGTAG